CTTTGTAGTACCTCCGAGTTGCCGGGAAATTGGGTTTCAAATTTCAAGATTGATGGAAGTGGCCTCCCACCCCTGAAAAAAAAAAAAAATATGCAGAGAGCCCTGTTGTTTTCATTGCTTGAGTTTGCAACCCCGTAAAGAAATAACAAAGATATAAGAAAAATCAATGACTCTTGGGGATGTGTGTCTCCAGCTGCTTCTAAACGACTTGCAGAGAGACTTGGACCGCACACTCAGAGAAACACAAATACTCAAATTGATTGTTGATTACTGACCAACAACTGCTGTCCAAACTAAAAAATAACATGTCATGTGTCTATTCCTTCCTCCAAGTTTAGTTCTCAGCCTGAGGATTGAAACAAATGATCATTATACCCATATTTTATTACATGTTGAGTGGAGCTAAAAGCCTGCGCAACACCCAGCAGTTTTAGCAAAATACATACCGGTAGGTTCTCAAATCATTTTGATAATTTGGGTCAATGATTTCAAACGATGCAAATACAGGTACTGTCCTTTTTCATTTTGTGTCATATCTTTTGTAATGGTTTCGTTAATTTCCTCACTTCAGAACAAATGCATCCACTTTGTCTGCGCTTTTCTCCACCCATTTCTGTCTCTCTGAGACTGTCTTTAATTTTGTTTCTAGTCATTTATTTGCAATTATCAGTAAGTTCCCATCTGTATTCAAATTCCATTCTTTTCTACTATTTTTGCTTCATCTTCAAGATATGCCTCCATTCTTTTCTACTATTTTTGCTTCATCTTCAAGATATGCCTCCATTCTTTTCTACTATTTTTGCTTCATCTTCAAGATATGCCTCCATGCTTTGTCATAATGATTTCAACCCTTATTTTTTGTGTGCTACATCAGTGTACATGTGTACAAGTTTCCATGTAACATCTTACTATACATTTTACTTTTTTATTAGAATGTTATAATTCATTCACAAGAAGATTTACAATTTCAAACTCATGTACAAAGTCAAGTTTTTTTCTATAGTGAAAGTAGACTTAATGGGTAAGCTCAACCTCATTCCACGATGTCGAGCAGCTACATGTGGTGCCTGCTCTCTCACCCCGGTGCTGGCTCAGATATGGTGTACATGTTGAACATGTTCAGAAATCTGGCACAAATTAGGTACGGAATAGTCTGTTGCCAAGCCATGCTTTAATCATTTTAGTTGTCATTCCTTGTTTTATGTGACCATTGCATGCTCCTATTTAATGAGTATTCCAATCAGCCCATGCCAAGATATTGTGGCCTGATGATCCCTGATCTGCTGCAAATACTGTAGGCATTCACCAGGGAATCCTGGGCTTTTTAGCTTATCAACGACAGAGTGCGGACCTTTCAGTATGAGCCATGGCTCGGAATATCACTGTGTAAGTTTCAATGGGTTTAATAGCTTGGTACACTGCATTCATGACGCATCTTTTCCATTCCAAATTTAAACCAGCAGGGTTGTACATTAAACATGTTAAATAGGCATGGTGAGTGGAAATGTCTATTTGCAACCTACCAGTAGGCCCTATATCATTTGCATAGGCCTACATGTAGGCCTACCGGTAGGCTTTACTTTCCATTCAATAATCTATCTCTACGCATAATGACTGGAAACTAGGTTATTGGTCAGGTGCCAAGTTCAAAGTCGTGAGCAAGAGGCAAAATTTGGGTGCCGATTTGGCTAGGTGCTGAGTTACCGTAGCTAGGTACCAAGTTGGCTACATATGTATGTATGTATATGTACGTGTATAGGTGCCAAGTTGGCTACGTGTAGGTGCCGAGTTGCTGGGTGCCGAGTTGGCTAGGTGCCAAAGTGACCAACAATACGTGACGTATACGGAGGTACATGTAGTCCAATATTTTGGGTCCCATTTACAGGGCTATAATTCTACTCTACAAGTAGTAGTCCAGGCTCAGTTGGTGTGTCTACATGTAGTAGAAAGTTAGCCCCATAAATGTTAATTTACTGGACTACAATCTCCATAAATATAGGCCATGTACTTGAAGTTGTACAAAAGAGCCTCCAAAACTCCAAAGAAACGTCTGAGACAGCAGATATTTGTTATTGTTTCGGTTTGCGGAAAAGAACTTGTCCTGCTTATTGTCAACTTTGCTAAGTAGTTTTTTGTTCTGCTGTAAGTTCTAAACGAACTTGTCTTTGGTCTGCAACGTTTCGACTAGCCTGCTCTAGTCATCGTCAGGAGACTGGAGTCACATGGTGTTACCGCAAACCGAAACGATACCCCACCATGCAAAGCCTCAAATCTTATATCAGATATTTTTTTTCATTGCTACATGTAGTAACAAGGTGAGTGTGCTTCCAAAGCGTAAACTTGAACAGTAGAAGCAAAGTCTGAATGTGAAAAACAAATTAGGTCCAGCCTGTTCTGAATGGGGTGCAGGTGTGGCCTACATTCATTTCTACGGGGGTTATCTAAGAAACTGGCCACATTTATGGGGCCAGTAAGAATTTCATTCCTGCATAAAACATTACAGGATGAATTTCTTTGTTCTTTGGTCAGTGTGTCACATAAAATAGGGCTTGTCTGATTTTTTAAGCTTTAGGCCTATCCCTTGCTAACTACATCTGACATATTACTTTCACTGATTCATCAGGTTAGTACTTTTTCCCATGGCTGTGTGAAACACGTGGTGGGCGTGGGCCTGAGCTGCTTATGTTGGTTGGTTGGTGGACAGTTTACTCGGGGTGTATTATACTGTTCCATGTCACGCGTGTATCACAGCTTTGCCAGTGAGTTTCTATGGAATACCTGCAGCTTTGTGACACTGATGCGCATGCGTCTTATTTGCATTATAAGATCACTGCATTGCAAAATTGGCAGTAGTAGTAGTACTGTTCGTGGAACCACTTGGTACTTGTTACTCCCTTTATAGTCAGAATATAGTTTCTACTTTCACAAATTGTGTCAAAATATTAGGAGGGGTCATCAAAGTCTGGTCACGTGTGTGACATCAGACATAAAAATGTTATCGGGCCCATATTAGAGATTCACACTTTTCTCCAAGGTTTTAAGGACACACATGCCCATACATGTACTTAGTTTGGAGTACTTGTCTTGTTTTAATTCCATGCCAAAGTTGACTTCAAATGGAACTTATTCAAATTGTTTCACTTTCGCAGGTGATGGGGATACCTAAACCTTATGAATACATGCACCAGTATTGCCTAGATTTGTACGTTTTCATTTTTTTCAAGGTTTGAATATATATGTATCCATGGTAATTTGTTAAATTACCAAAATTTGGGAGAAAAATTTAAAAATTTTAACATTTAATAGCTTACCAAAGATGAAAACATTTTTGGAATTTATTTTATTTAAAATAGTCATAAGGGAACCTTCTCCAAAAAATAAGGGGAAAAAATGTGATTTGTATAAATTTGCATTTAGTACACTGTGAATAATCAAAGTACTTCATTGTTTTTTCTGCGGCAACGTAACATCCGTAATGCTCATTGGCAATGATTATGTCTAATTAATTAATTAGGTTTGGGCGAGTCCCAAGGGGAATTATTTAATTAGTGTGTTATGGCATATGTTACGCCTACGGCGAAAAAATGGCACAATTTTTATTAATTTCAATTCAATTCAACATGGTCATGATTACTCCTAGAACTATGAGGCTCCACTACGTGGAGCCTCATAGTTCTAGGAGTAATCATGACCATGTTGAATTGAATTGAAATTAATAAAAATTGTGCCATTTTTTCGCCGTGGAGCCTCATAGGTTCAGAAGCCCGCAAAATTGTTGTCAGCACAAAACACTAATTAAGTACAAAAACGTCCATCCCAAGCAGGCCGTTTTCCACAGAACCGCTGCACAGTTTGCCCCTAAACTCCATACAATACCTCATGACATACTCACGTTATGTGCACCCAACAAACATCGGTGGATTCTGTCTGTTTTTCGGCAAAAATGATGAAAAATATGCCCTTTCCGCACTGAGCCAACCTAACACTTGAAACGAGCACGCGTGCAGAATGATCGCAGTTATTTTCGGTTCGATCGCTCGGAGCGCGCCGCGGGGGGGTACGTACTTGCACTTGTACGCATGTGCATACTATCGTTCCGCTCCTACACCATACCCCCCGCGGCGCGCTCCGAGCGATCGAACCGAAAATAACTGCGATCATTCTGCACGCGTGCTCGTTTCAAGTGTTAGGTTGGCTCAGTGCAGAAAGGGCATATTTTTCATCATTTTTGCCGAAAAACAGACAGAATCCACCGATGTTTATTGGGTGCACATAACGTGAGTATGTCATGAGGTATTGTATGGAGTTTAGGGGCAAACTGTGCAGCGGTTCTGTGGAAAACGGCCTGCTTGGGATGGACGTTTTTGTACTTAATTAGTGTTTTGTGCTGACAACAATTTTGCGGGCTTCTGAACCTATGAGGCTCCACTACGTGGTCGTGGAGCCTCATAGTTCTAGGAGTAGGTCATGATGTGATGGTTATCACGAATAGCAGCTACAGCTGAATTGCACGTGATTTATATTTTAAAAAGGGCATTTTTGCGAGTTTGTACATGTATATATAAAAAAATGTTTACAGATGCTGCTAGTGCTAGTTCATCATGTCATGTGGACAGTTCACAACAACCCAATGATAAAATATAGGGCAGACATCGCGCGCAGAGGTGACTAGCGCATGTCCAGCCATGCTCCAGCTAACCACGATAAACACTTACCTGCCATCATCCTCGCCAAAATAGTCACCAAGTACGAGGTCTCTGAAGCGGTATCTGGGGGGTAAGGGAGGAACAATGTCATATCCGTCAGCCATTTCGCTCAATGATCGAGTTTTCCCAGCTCAGTCTACCATCTTGCTTCTCAGTCGTACGAGACGACTCGAATGATGTTTTTTAATTTTTCCTTGCGCAAAATTCGCATTATGCGCGGTTTGTGTTCAATTAAATTCTTGGTGGCGCCCTTCATTAATAGCGGTGTCTGAAAAAAAAAGCACCTGCTGAAATACCTTGCCAGCACCTCACAGTTTTATTGAGCTTTAAAAAAAAATAACTTTTTGAGCCAGCTCTTAAACGAAGATCACGTTTCAGAATACACAATAAAATGCTGAGTTCATGTACATCATTCCTCCTAAAAAAAACATAAACAGGGGCGGACGGGTCTCCTAGTTAATTAGGCCTAACGTTACTTTCGTGATTTGTTTCAGTGGGCAATGATGGGACCATCACGATGGGACAAATTAAAACGGCGACGGTGCACACATGGAACCACTGTTTCCCTGCACTGTTTCAGAATTGTATCCGAATGCTGTTGACCTCTGAGTCCCAGTGGGCTACACCTGGGTAACACCAAGGATCCACCTTGACCGTACCTTGATTTATGCAAATGTCCGTGAAATCTAAGGGTCACGGTCCCGGTGACCGAGGCCAGCTGACGTAGTGACGTGACAGTGGGCGGCTGGCTATGCCTACATGACTAGTGTCACATACACAGTCAGTCTCTAGTACTAGTACTCTGCGCTCTGCCTACACGCACGACTTCGCGACACGTCTTGGATATTCCACGATGGGTGGCATGGATGGAGACATTTCTCCAAATTGGGGTCTTTCTTGGTGGCACTGTGTTGCTACAGCAGCTGCTTTGTGGATTGGGTAAGACTCGAATTTAGTGGAAAAGTTTTCCTTTTGTCCTTAATCAGTCTGTGCACTTTTTTGTATTGTATTGTTTTTATTTCCATTTGTCACAAATTAATATAATGCAAATGCAACAGATTATTTACTACAACAATAACTTAACTTACTAGAATAATAATACATGTACAACACTTTGATCAATGTAACATAAGTGGTGACAGATGGGGGAACCAGGAAAAAAGCCTAAGCTTATACAGAGCCTGGTCCCGTTAGTGAATAACTTATGAAATAAACAACAATTATAGATATAATTTAAAACTGTGGTCAATAAATTAATTAATTAATTATTTACTTGGCATAATTAATAGTCGTAAAACTGACGGAAATTGAAATATGCATGTATTTATTTACAATATAACATTTGATTATAATGGAGTGTGACTTGTTCAAATGCGAATTATGGGTGTACGTCTTATATAATACCGGAAATTAGTAGGTTTTTTAAATATCTTTTGAATTTATGAACAGTCCGAAAGAAGGGTATAGGTGTAAGCTGATTCCAAAGAAGAGGGCCTTGGTGTCTAACTGTTTTCATGAATGATGCAGTCCTAGCCTTGCCAATGTGAATTTTTTGGCTGATCTTGTGTTATGTAAATGGACATCTAGATTCCTCACAAACATGGACCTGATATTTGTAGGTAGTAGTTTGCCTTCGAATTTAAACATTAGGATTCCTAGATGGTATTTGTACAGTTCAAATATATTCAGTGTTTTATATTGTCTAAAAAGGGGCGCAGAGTGTTCTCTGAAACCGGAGTTTGTGATGACTCTCATCAGCTTCTTCTGTACAATTAATAATTTATTCAAATAAGTACTATGGGTATTTCCCCATGCTAGAATTCCATATTGAAGATGGGGTAATGCAAGTGTATTATAAATAGAGAAGAGGACATTTCTAGGTAGTGTATGTCGAAGCTTACGTAGTACACCCAATAACTGGGAAATGGATGTGTGAACCTTTTGGCACTGTAATTTCCATGAAAGGTTACAGTCAATTATGACACCTAAAAATTTGAAATGATCTACTTGGCTTATCTTAGATTTATTAATATAAATATTAATGTCAACATCAATGTACTTTTTTGAAAATAACATAAAACATGTTTTCTTTTCATTTACCGACAATTTGTTACATTCAAACCACATGGAGACATTCTTAAGTTCTTTGTTTATAATTAGAACAAGCTCATTTAAATTAGAGTGACTAAGGAAAACGGTTGTGTCATCCGCAAATAAAATAAAAGATAACAATTTCGAAGAGTTACAAATATCGTTTACATATATAAGGAAGAGTAATGGACCTAAGATTGAGCCTTGTGGTACGCCACAAGTAACTGACTGAAGGGTTGATTTATTATTTTTCCATTCAACAAACTGTTTCCTGTCACAAAGATAATTTCTAAACCAGTCCAGGGTCTTCCCCCTAACACCATACCTGTTTTGAAAGTAAAATGTCATGGTTAATAGTGTCAAAGGCCTTAGAAAGGTCTAAGAACAAGCCTATGGTGTGATTGGATTTGTCTATGGATGAGCTGATTTTGTCAACAAGGTCAATAAGGGCCATCTGAGTTGAGAAATTAGCACGGAAACCGTACTGAGAGTCACATAGAATATTGTACTTAGTTATAAAGATTTCTAGGCGATTTGCAACTAGTCTCTCAAGTACCTTGGAGAGACATGGTAATATTGAAATAGGGCGGTAGTTGCAAATTAATTGAGGGTCACCGTTTTTGAATACAGGCATTACTTTTGCAATTTTTAATTCATTTGGTACAATTCCAGTCGATAAAGATAAACTTTGCATGTTTTGTTTGCTAAATCCTCCTCTTTGTCATGTTTGTTTACCGTAGTACGCCTGTCTTAATCTTTTCAGTTCAATATAATATTGCCATTAATATTAATTTGTATTGTTTATTTAGGGGATGTGTTGCCAGACCCCAGCACAAGTGCTGGAGAAAGTTTTGACGATCGTGTAGTGTAGGGCCCGGTTCCTTTAAGGAAACAAAATCCACTTTAAAATACCAACCAAACAAGTTTGTGACATTCTAAATAAACATGTAGGGGGACCTATGACATAGCCTATGTCATAGACTACATACATGGAGGGCAGGGTTTTGATTTTTTGAGGGAAATTTGGGGGTAAAATGACGGCGACAGCGCGGCAGAAAAATCATGATTCCTACCCTAAAAAACTGTTGAAAATTGCAAAACGGGTGTCATTAGAATTGAGAAAAGTCTGCTTTTGACTGTAAAGGTGATTTTTGAGCAATAAAAAGCATTTTTTTACTCTAATTTGATCAAAACAAAACAGGGGCCCTACACAACACGATCGCCAAAGTTTTTTAGACTAGCCTAGGGCTGTGCCCAAAATACTGAATATTATTTGGTTTTTCCATTTTAAATATTTAGAGAAAAAAATGTGAGTGGTCTCAAAAAGATATATAGAGAAACACCTGTGACGTCCTAGTTTTAATCGTATAAGTTTGCACCTTTAAAATCTTTCAAGTACTAGTCATCTACTGGTACCCCCCCCCCCCCCCCCCCCGTCCCCCTCCCAATAGGGCCGGTATAATAAGAAATATATAAATGTACGCGATGTTCTTAATATATTTCTATTTATGTGATCAGTACATTCCTGATTGATGCACGCAAATTTCAACCAATTACCACTTGATACCCTTTAGGCTGGCTTATGAAACTTGTCTGGAGTGTTTTTGATATCAAAGCATTCTATTGAATCCAAGTCTGAATAATCAAAAGTATTTGAGAATGCGACACAACCCTAAACTAGTGAAAGGTCTGGGGTTTTTCCAAAGAAGTGTTGTGGTAAAATATGGTATGTAGGTGTTAGCTTAATTGATTAACAATTACTGCAGAGTAATGCAGTGCCTGCCTTTCATTGATATAGGTACAAAATCTGGCACTACACTCTGTTCATCAGGAGCGGTATTCCTGGGCCGTTACCCATACCCTTCTATGCAAACATCAAAAGATCAAAAGAGGTACCTAAATAGTCATTTAGACAAAGCTTTATTAACAAGGGCCATATTTCATAAGCACTGTATACACAGTGCTCGTGAAATTACATCTTCCCGACAAACTAATCCATCATACAAACTTGGGTGCCACCTACCACAAGTAGATTCAAATCAACCAGCAAGTCACTGCAAGCAAGCAGGACGTCTTGGGTTAGAGCCTCACCCAAGTAAACTTGGACTTTTTTCTCACAAGCCCACACAGCACAGCATACAAGTGTCAATAATAAAAGATGTTACTTGAGTCGAAAACATTCGGTGAAACTGATCTTGCCACACATGTGTTAACAGTATACACACCAAGAATCAAATGGTCGAAACAATGCTTGATGTAATAAGTCATGAGGAAAGTGACCTGGGATAAAAAGGACATAAATCCTGGTATGCATTCTACATGTACCGCAGTGTCACTTCAAAGCAGCCAAGAAATCATCTAGAATTCAGGGGAAAGTGTGATAATATTGTTCTGTATGGGTTAGAATTTAATACAACACATTTTTGTTGCAAAAAGCGATGCAGCACAGAACTATCAGGGGAGAAAATCCTGATTGTGATATGTGGACAGATGTCTGAGCAGTATCACCACACTTTTTACAACTTGTAAATGGTTTTGATGTCCAGTCCAGAGCGTTTGCTACCTACCTTTGAGGAGATATCTACAAACTCTATAGTTATAATCTGTAATAATAGTAACCCCTTCTTTGACTGTGAGATGATATATTACCGCTAGGCGAGTATCGCAAGTTCTTGAGTATCACAAGTAGTTCATTGGAGTACCCAAGTTAAGTACACTACCTGCCCAGGACTAGCATCATTTTTTTCTATCTTATTTTTCATATTTATCATTGCACTTAAGGCAGATTTGTTTTCAAGAATTTAAACAAAGTCATTTTTTTCCCTGCAGGCTTTTTACATCTGTGAGCAGAAATGGATAGAGAAGTATGGCAAGGTGATGGGGTAAGAATCACTGAATCATCGACATACTAATTATTAAGTGTTTTTGTAGTCACAGCAATTATTCACCAGCCTCAAAACCAGCCTTTGTAAGACGTTTTCATGTAATTCAGGTGCATGAAATAATAAAAGCCAAATTTATTCACCCATCAGAGGACAAAAAATAAAAATGTTCCGCAAGGTTAAAAGAAGTACTCGATGAAGTTTATATTTGAGGCCTGAATTCAAATTCAAATCTTAAATCAAGATTTAACTTTGTGATGAATTTTCACAAAGAAGCCTGACTGTAGCAAGATAATGAACCTGCAACAGTGAGCTGAGCCATCCAGTCCTACATGTTCATGTATGTTCAGGGATCTCCTGATTTGTCAATGTCATGGGACGCTAGTCAGCCGAGTCACAGGCTCCTGGTAGGCATCAGGTTTTTGTCTTTCCTTGGCCAGATTTAACTTTATTTTGTTTTTACCCCTCCCTGTTTCATTCCAGATTCTTCTCAATAGCTGGGCCGACCCTCGTGATAGCAGATGTCAAGATGCTGAAGCAAATGTTCATCAAGGAATTCAACAACTTCAGGAATAGAGGGGTGAGTTTCAAATGGTAATACTCCATGAAGTAACAACTAGAATTTGGTGGTTTTACTTTTTGTGTTGGAGGAGATCTCAGTGTTTTTTTTTTTTTAAATAAATTTAAAAGGACCCGATAGGTTTGAATATTTTTCCCCTATGTTTTTTTAAACCCCCACAAATCCCCAGAGTACCATGTATCCTATGGCCACAGTGTCTGACCATGTGCAGGAATGGGTCTGAACCCTAGAGTTCACGGCACCCTTGGCTGGACATTCTACCACAACTGCGCCTGTACCCAAGAGTACGTATTATTGGGTAGCTTCATCTCTCCCGCCTCTATTTCTGTAATTTAGTCATTTCAACAGTAAAATCAGTATGCCATTTCTCTCGTCACACCAGCCAGTTATATTCATCCAATCAGCCAGGCTGAGGAACATGCTGATAAACCTCAAGGACCAACAGTGGAGGAACGTTCGGCACACCATCATCCCAGCGTTCACCTCCTCCAAGATCAAGCTGGTAATATGCCACTCTGACGTGTTATAGTCCAGTCAATCACAAGTCAATTATAAGTTCTTGTTCTTGGTTGGTTCTTGGTTGGTTCTTCTCCTAAATACTCCACGTGGGAATTTATACAGGAGGCCAGAAACACCGGGGCAAACCCCTTCTCTTAGCGATAAGTGTTTACTGGGTTCTTTTACGTGCATTTATACAACACACGGGACCTACGGCTTAACGTCCCATCCGAAGGACAAAGCAATAATGGTTAAGTGCCTTGCTTAAGAGCACAAGTGTCCGCCGGTGGGCTCGAACCCACGTCACTGTTGCCTCTGAAACACCAGAACGTGAGTCCGGTGTTCTTAACCGCTAGGCCATCACACTCCACATAAGTCAACTATAATAATGCCATCATACTAAGACAACATTTTCAAATGAACTGTGATACAGGGATTCTTTTGACCATTCCTTTACTTGCGATGACGTGACTTGTGATTTGACTCGTCAGAATCATTATTGACTAGATTACAACTCTGTTTCAATTATGGGCTCCGTGCACAAGTACCCCTCAACGATAAGAAAGGGAGAGTTTAGGAAGACCACTGGGAGAGATATTGGAACACATTGCCGACAACGCCTTACGCTCACATGAAGACACTATGACTTTGTGCACATTCAGACAAAAATAAGTCATACATACTTAACGCTTTATGTGCCCGAACCAGTTCCTGCACACTGCATAGGGTGCATTTTTTACCTCTCTGTTAAAACACACAGCCCATATGTGGTTGATTTTCAAGTTTCCTTTGTTTCACTAATGAAAAAGTGTTCATTCTTTTCTAAAGATGACCAGTGCACTCAATGAGTGCGCAGAGGATGTTATTCTGCAGAAACTCAGGCAACTTGATGGAGAAGCCGTAGAAATCAAGAAGTAAGATAACCTAGATACATAAACGTACATAATTTTCAGTTATCACCTAAACCAGCCCCTTCCCCCCGCCCCCAGCCCACCCCCAGTCCCAAGGAAAATTGGGTGTCTACAAGCTCTATACATGAGCGCTATACAAGAAGCCAATATTATTATTATTATTGTATCTCATAAGGTTGTATGGCGCATACACCATCTGTTGTATAGCAGTGGCAGGCTTTGGCGTAGAACTCCATTCTCAGTCGGAAAACGGCAACACCACTCTGGCCGCTTTTGAGAACAACGCCAAGGAGTTTTTCTCGCGCCAGAAGCACACCAAGTGGTTGATCATGGGAATGCTGCAGGGTGAGTGGATGAAGTCACAGGACAAAATACAAATTATATCAACTATTAGTGAACTTGCTGTATGTTTTCAGCTGTTGACGTCCGATGTTGATATCAGTAATTATTTCATGAGTTTCACAGATCTGACGACAAAATAATGATTACTGTTCTTACGACGACTTTTCAATATTTTGCAGAATATTTACCTGGTGCTCTTATCAGATATTTTGACATTGGTCTGGTGTCTCAAGCCAGCGTCAACTTCTTCTTTGACCTGTCAGCTGAAATCTTTAAAGAGCGCAAGGAAGGGAAGATGCAGGTAAGTGTTAGAGTCTGAATAAGAGTCTCTTCCCAGTCTAGTTCATATTTTTCCAGCTCCAAGTCCCTCCGCCAGTCGGACTCCAAGGTCAATCTGAGTCCTCAGTCTCAGTCCTCATACTTGTGGTCTGAGTCTACATAAACCCTTCAAGTATGAGTCTACAGTCAAAGTCTGAGTCCTCCCAGGTCAAGTCCTGGTTTGCATCAAAACAAAATCCTCAAATCTTAGTCCTGGAAATCAAAATTGAAATGCAAGTCCTCAAAATGCAAGGCCTCAAAATGCAAGGCCTCAAAATGCAAGGCCTCAAAATGCAAGGTCTCAAAATCAAAGTCCTCAAATCAAAGTCCTTGAAAACAAAGTCCTCAAAATCAAAGTCCTCAAAACCCAAATATGGAACTCTCTTTCTGCCCACATACCCACTATCAGGAATCTGGCCAGCTTCAGTAGCTAGGTGAATTTTAATCTGGGCGACAAGCCATCAGAAGTCTCTATTAATCAATAATGTTTCTTAAGGCCTAGATATGTCTTCTGTAGTTAAAAAAGAATTACAAAGTGCTCAAAATCAAATTCCTTAAAGTCCTCAAAACCCAAGACCTCAAAATGCAAGTCCTCAAACCGCAAGTCGTCAGGTAGGTTTGGTTAGCATCTTGTTTATTTTGGCTTCTCAGGGTACCTTTGTGGACTTCATGCAACTGATGATCAATGCCCACCAGCTGGAAGATGAGGAAAGTGAAGAAGGCTCAGGTCAAAGGTCACCACAGGGGGCTGGTGCCATAAAGGTCAAATTGTCAATGGAAGAAGTTGTTTCCCAGGTAAACTTCAGTTATTTGTTTAAGAATGAACTTTTCATCATTTACCAATCTATCAACCTGAAACTGACATGGAATATGATGCACCATTGTTCCAGCTAGCATTTAACATTCAGTCTCTTGGAGCAACTTCAAACAAGTTAATATTATTAACAATATGTTCTAATATAGTTGAAGAAAGAAATCAATTGGAGCAGGTTTTGAACCTGCAACCTTCGGAACAAGAAACAGGTGCTCAACCAACTGAGCCATCCAATCCTATTTTGGCTATGGACAAGCACCCCATGGACGAAATCAATGACTGTTTGAAACTGCCAACATATGGCTTGATAACTCAGGTGGTAGAGTGTCTGTACGTTGTTCATGAGGTTACAGGTCAATTTCTTGAGGAAATCTGAGCAGAAATGAACATAGCCCGTGTTTTATTTCATTTTTTTATTTGATGCCATTATGATGTATTATAACAAATGTAACTGCTTCCTTCTGGTGCAAAGGTTCTTAGCAAATTTACCAATTCAACTTTTGTAATAAGTTTGACTAGGCACTGCGATTCGAGCTTTTCAGACACCAAAATCACATCGGGAACATTAATCTCCGAAAATTAACAAATACAAAACATTGTATTGATATTCAGTGTGTGATGTTCCTGATGGCTGGATACGAGACTACTTCAGCCTGCCTCATCTTTACCTCCTACCTGCTAGCCTCTCATCCAGACGTCCAGGAGAAACTGGCCGCTGAGGTCAAGACGGTCATGTTAGGCTCCCAGTCCAACAGCGTGACCTTGGACCTGATCAACAAGATGACCTATCTGGACAAGGTGGTGAACGAATCCCTACGCCTGTACCCACCCATTGCAAGGTTAGGTTGAAATCAAAGATCCAAAAGATACCTAATGGAGGTATGGTCTATCAGGAGAAGCTTGGTGGTCTGAGTAAATTGACTAGTTAATCCTGGCTAATGAGGATTGATACCCCTGATGAAGCACAAAGAACACCATCGATGTGTTCCTGCACAGTGGTGGCCGGAGTTGGAGGGTTCAGAATGGTTCATTTCTCAAATGCTTTAAGATTGGTCAACCCCCCCCCCCCCCAGAAACCTGCCCCTCCCTCTCTCTCTTAGTTACTCTCTCTTACAATGTATTCTCATTGTACAACATTCCTCATGCAGGGTAACTCGGGTATGTACCAAAGACACCACCCTGCAAGGCCTGAATATCAAGAAAGGAACAAGAATCATCGCTCCATCTTGGACCATCCATCGAAGCCCTGAATTCTGGCCTGACCCTTTGACCTTTAACCCAGACAGGTGAGGTCAAGATCTGGTCAAAATCTGAAGCTAAAAAAGTCTGGGTTCACATTTCTAGTCAAAGCATTGATAGCAGGTGGCATCCAGCAAGTTGTATTTACTTGTTTCAGAGCAAGAGGCACTCGGCGTGGGACATCGTACAGATAGTGATAAATTCTTTCATCTCAAATGAGATGAACTAATTCACAAAACTATTGAAAACAGGGGAATCTTACGTGCTAAAAATGAATCATGACCTGTATACTTCTCCCCATGCCAGATTTTCTGCTGAGAACGATTCCCTGAACATGGATGCATTCCTGTCCTTTGGCGACGGGCCTCGGTCTTGCTTAGGCAATCGCTTTGCCCTGGCTGAGATCAAAATTGCTCTGGCAAGGATACTGACAGAGTTTAGGATCGAGATGGCCGAAGACACACCGGTATGTAATAGCGTTGTGCCTGACATGCAAACATTTGAATATTTGAATATTTAAATATTTAAATATACAAATATTTGAATAGTTGATCGATTATGCAATTGTATAATATGGATATTCAGAATGAGATCAGGGGTGGATCCAGAGTGCTTTTAGATGTTTTGGTTATGGTATGGGTGTGTGGGGTGGGGGATGGCAGACAATTGATTCCGTGGGGGGGGGGGGGGCCTTTGCATCCCCCGAACCTGCAATAAATAAAGAGGAAAGGGTAAATAAGAGAAGTAATTGTTTTTTTTAAATTTGCTTTAGGTGACAATTAATATAACATTAATTCATGGCTTCTTCTTTCCTCACCTGTTGTAGCAAACTTTGGAACTTGGAAAAGGCGTGTTCTTAGCTCCTCGTCACCCTGTACCCTTGAAGTTTGTCCCTGTTGCTTGAAGGAACCCTTCAAGAAGGAGAAAAAGAAGACGTGTTTTACTGTACCATTCATGGATAGTTTAATGTTTTGGAGGATTTTAATTTGTAGTATCATCCAGTCCAGTCACTATAAACTTGAGCTTGATGTTGCAAGAACATTGGGAGTTGAAGGAATGTGCCAGTGGATTCTGCACAGCATAATGAATATTTTTGGAGAATTGTTGTCTGCAATTTTTCTGACCAACGAGCCAAAAATAAGTGTTACTGGGGAAAGCTTTACTGAAAGTTAAGTATTGTCAATAGTAAAAACGACATCATGTTTGATTCTTGAAATGTGTGTCAACAGGATACAGATAGAAGCTGTCAATGACAAATTGTTGTAGATGATAAAGTGATATCAGAAATAGGCCAGTCTCTACATTGAACATGGTGGATGCTATTGCTTGCCTTTGAGGAAAATTAGGAAGTTGAGGGAGAAGTCCTCTTTTTTATTCTTAGAAATGTATGGCGGCAGTCTTTTTGCAAGTCTAACTTCAGATTTTAAAGTTCTATATATTGGGAAAAAGGGTCCGTTTGTCTTGAATTATTAATTTCGTTTTAAACTTGGTGAATTATGAGCATGCATTTGCACTGTTTATTTCTTAGTGTTATTCAAGCTAACAGTATTAATCGTTTTTCAAAATATCTGTGCAGATTTCTCCTTTGTTGTTGTAGTTACAGAACGTGTTAGTTGTGATACATTACAGCTAGAAATCATGTATTTTGCTTCAATTAGGGATGTTTAGATTTTTTTAGATATTTTTTTTGGACTTGTAAGATTTTACTCTCGCTCTCTCTCTCTCTCTCTGAAACAGGAAAAAGCCCCTAGGTGCGGCATTATCTTAACGTGTTTGGTTTGTACAATTTTTTTAAATAGAACATAAAAACTTTTAAATGGAACAGAAAAAAAAATGTTTGAAATGACTCTGACCGTACCGGATGAAATAATTGAAATATCTCTAAAAGAGGATTGGTAGGTGATGGGGAGTGGGCAAGAGTCTTAATGGCCAATGTTTTTTTTTCCTCAGAAAAACAAGTCAAATGAATTTTTTTTTTTCATTTGATTAATTAACAAGTATAGTACTGAAATAAAATCAGTTGCCGAATTGTAATTCTTATTTTTTTTTTAGAGTTCAATCAAACTTCATTTGTTGCTAGAGTGAGACCAGTTTAGCTGATACTATTAAGTGACACGTTTTCTTTTTACTGTTAGCATTTTTCTGTTCGGTTGTTTTTGTCATTGTCATGTGAGAAATATTTGAAAGTCAGAATACATGTACATGTAGTTTCTTTACACGATTTAATGCTGAATTGTATGCGCATGTATATTACGCACTAGCTAGTGCATCACGGGAAATAAAAACAATTGGGCATCAAATAGTGAAATTGTTTAAGCGTTTAAACTGCGCCTGTGTTATAAATGTCAAATACGCCCTGGAGCCAATGGAGTTTGTTGTAAACAGTATTGTACTTCCTCCTGACGACAATGCTGGGGGATTTTTATGCAACATGTAAAGTCCAAGCGTCAACCAGACATGAGCCAATCAAGTAAACTCTCATTAATAATGCATTTCTTTGATAAACAACAAAACAAAACACATCTCGCCGTCCTTGACCAGATAGCAAGCTAACAGCATCACAATGACGTTGATGTATTTACATGTATGTTAAAAAAAAATGCATTTTGGACCCATTGCTGACATGACATATCGAATTGGCTAATCGGTGCTTACATTCAGCCGCAGACGGCCCAACAGATGGAAGATGACATAACTATAGGATATAGTTTTTTGCAACTTTCTACTTCTCGTAAAGCCAGAGTCCATCATTTGCAGCTATCCAAAAAGTAACTGGCGTAATTATTGTTGAAAAACATACTTGGTTGAAAGATAATAAGGGGACTAAACTCCCTGTGAAATGATTCTTTCTGGCAAGCTGTCATTTTGAAGAAATCAACGAAAGAAGGCCTTTCCAACGGTGCGTCTTAAGAAGCACCGTTGGAAATTTCCATTAGTAGTTCGTTTTTTTTCGGCGAAATGCGCGCAAGCGTTGACACGACACGATCGGTGCGCAACATCGCGTAGCTGCAGTCGGCTCAGTGAGAACGTGTCTCGGACGCTGAATTCAGGCCCAATTCAAAACATGATTCAGCAACGTTTGATTTGAAATGGAGATCCCAGAATGTTGTTTTTCTCGAAATATACAGCTGAAGCTGAGCTGAAACTTCATCAGGTTGGTTGTTCAGCACCCTTCTTCAGATTTTGAGCACTTTTGTTGCTTTAAACGAACAAAATGCACAAATTACAAATGATGGACTATGCCTTTAATGTTTAAAAACTTTTTGACATCCATTTTTGCATAATTTTATTGATTATTTAGGATTATTTAGGGGATTCCCAAATGAAAGTTCAAAGGAGCCAGAGAAACTGTGACGAAGCGTCTGGTACAAATTGCAACTATAACACCGAGGTCCCCTAGTTGGATTCGTTAAATCCAACTAGGATTTTGTTAAGATCTTTCAAATTGATAACTGGTCTCAATCCACCTGTCTTTTTCGCTGTCAGAAAAATGTTCGACAGAAACTGGCATTCAGCCAGAGGAACTTCTCTGATTGCACCTTTGTGCAGCAGCTTACTAATTTTAGTATTGATCACAAGTGATTCTTGATCACAGAAGGATTTCTTTTGAGGTTTTTAGGTTTGAATTGGACAGCTCAAGAAATCAATTTTACAACCTGATGTGTGTGTGTGGCCTGATATGGTGTTTAGAATCCACCTTTCAGAAGTGATTTGAGACCAATCACCCTTGTGTAATTTTAGTCTCCCGGCACTTGCCAATGGACATACCAAGTTGCAACCAAATCGGACCCTATGCTTATGTAGGGACGTCAAATGTAATGTGATGATGTCATCATGATGTCACTTCAAGTTTGATCTATACTGCATCCCGCGGGTACATACCACGTTTCAAGCAAATCGGACCTGTAGTTCTGTAGATAGGCTTTCAAAATATGCACCTTTAATGTGACGTCACGTGACCTGTGACGACGTCATGATCGGCACATATCAACAGGTGCTATTCTATGTGTGTGCCATAATTATGTGCCTAAACCAGGTTGTATTATAGCTATCCGTTGAAGTGATGTCATGAAGACGTCATTTTATGTCACATGACGTCACATTAAATACTATTGGTCCGAGTTAGTTTGCAACTTGGTATGTACCTACATGGGATGTTTATAATAGGAGTAAATTAAGGGAGACGTGAGGTCATATTAAAGGTACTTTTCAAAGGCCTATATCTATATATGGACTTATTATGTGCAATGTGTTTCGAGCGGTTCAATTTCAAGGTCCCGCTTAGTTTAATGTCCTGTGTCACTGACGTGTTGATGTTGCATTTTAACAGTGGGTTATCTACAGAACTACACATCTGATCGCTCAGCCACTTTCTACTGCATATGTGTGTCCTATCAATCTATAGCATGACATAAACATGCCAGGGGACCACGGTGCCCCAGTTACAGCTTGTACCAGACGTTTCAACAAAGTTTTTCTCCAGCACCCACGAAAAGGTGACAACGGAATGAATGGCTCCTTTGAACTTGCAAGGGAAACCCCAAAAGAATCTGCGCTTTACATGAATGCCACTCCTGAATGAAGCAATTCATAGTGACATTTGGCTTGGCATTGGTACAAGCATTGGGGAAAGACTGCATACATCAAAACACCCTGTGCCCGAGGAAATATGTCAAAACATGGTATTGTAACTCCGTAGTCCTATCCGTGCGTTTTAGTTATTCATCATTTTAGTCTCGAGTTTATTATAGTCATATTATTTGAGCATTAATATGACTCATGGGCAGTACCCTTCATAGTACCCAGTTCACTTTTTTGTGACAGCCCTAGACTTAGGTATATAATCCCCTTGCCTATAAGCTAGCAGACACTGGTAATTGCACCGGAAAACAATACACTTGGAGGTAGGTAGGAGGAGTGCTATAAGCCATGTCGCCTGGCAAGAGAAGAACGAGTCCCACAATCGCAGCAATGGGTCTCGTGGTAATGCTTCAGCTTCTTGCGATGTTGACCACGGCGGTCGCGGTGAATCCAACGGGGCAAGCCTGCGATGTGTGCGAATGCAAGGGACCCGTAGTCATCTGCACGGGGAGAAATCTGACGGAACTACCCAGAGGTATCCCTAATGGGACGAAAGCACTGTAAGTAAAATCAGTTTAGGTGGGCCTGGGGTGGGAGAGAATATCAGTGAGGTGGATTATTTTCTTAACAATTGGCAAATAGAAGTGTTTCCAAAAATAAAAACCAGTATACTAGTACTTTGTCTTGCTAGCCGAGACACGGCCGGTGGTTGATTTATCTAATGGTAATCGGACTCTGAGTACATCAAAGGCTTCCTTTTCATTTATCCCAAGTAACCTGCACAATCATTAACGAAATGGGGGGGGGGGGGATAACCCAAAAGAGGCACTTGCTCAGTAGAAGGCATCTTCCGTCGGTTTTTTTTTGTGGGGCACATCCGTGCTGAAATGTCTGAAATGTTTTTTTCCCCCCGGAAACTTGGCCTCCGTAAAATCAAAACCGGCCATTATGCAAACTACGCATTATGTGCCCATTTTCAGGGCGCATTGTAAGGGTTTGAGGGCTTGGTTTTCATATTCCTCGTTCATATCAGAAGTATTTATAACATTTTGGGAAATGGTTACTGAAAACAAATTATCCAAAATGTATTGCCAGTTTTGTTTTCATCACAAGGGGGAACATTTATGCTCAAGGGGGCACATATGTCCGGAAGAGGGGCACTTGGGTAAATCTGGGGAGGCAAGTGCCCCCCCCCCCCGATTTTTTTTTTAAGAAATCACTCATTTTTCCAAGGAACAGTCAACTAACTGATTTTTGGAAATTTACAGGGAGTAACATTGCTATCTATAAACCAAGTAAACTGCAAATGATCTACACCTTTAAGAGAACGAGAAGTCTCACCTTGTTCGGACAGTCTAACAAATCCTCCTTTCAAAATAGTCTACCTGACACATAACTTTCAATTTTCTTTTGAATAAATGTTCCGATTGTTTTCTTTTCCTCATTGTGGTCTCCTTCTTTTTTACATTTTAAACAGTGAACTCGGAGATAATTTCTTGCGGGAGATACCTTACGATGGTTTGCTGGAATTCAGATCCCTCGTCAAAATGTGAGTTGGTCTGTGGTGTAGACCGATGGCTTGTTTCCCTATTTATTTATTATAATTAAAACACATGTAGTTATTATTTTTGTTTGATGGTTCTCGAGTCTCCTCATAAGAAAACATAAGCCCTCTCGTGTTGATGTGTCCATTGCAGTTTTCGATGATATCGTAGGCCTTTACACATCTACTCGACTAATAATAAGGTACCGTTATTGCATATTATGGGGCCTATATCGTTTTAATATGAATCACGATAATTTTAAACATTGTTTCTGTTAATCTCTTGTGATTTTCCTTTTCTCTGGTTGTGATTTTGACATAGTTGTCCTAATTAATTGCAGCCTGTTTTCGCGCTGTTCGACATCCTCTCTCGTGTATGTAAATATCGTGTACATATCGAAGTTATATCTTAATCCACCCTCAATCAACCACATTTTTTCACCCTCAGAAATATAGCCAACAACTTGATCAAAACGCCGTTTAAATTACCAGGATCCGTCAGGGTCATGTAAGTCAACAATACGTGATTTTATAGGATATGTAATTAAACAAACCAATGGTACATGCACTTTTCCTTTAACGAATTTATCGCTCAGGTTACTTGGACCTAGTCAATTTTCTTGTCCAAAATTTCCCGGTGTTTCTTCTTACTTTGAACTTGTAATTGGTAAAAACAATTTCGAGGTGCATGTAGTTTGTGATATGACGCTTTATTTTGTAAGGCATGGTTGGTGATTTTTTTCTATTATTAAACGTGTAGTCGGTCATTATGAGTCTTTATATCTGAAAGTGTGCTTGGTGATATGATTGTATATTTTCGAACCTTCAACTATTTATTGCTTTGACGTCTGAATCGAATGGCTTGCCGTCTGTGTCAAATTGTTTAATGCATTGTGCATGAAGGAGGCTAGTGCGTTGAATTTTACTTATGCGGACTCCCATTTCACTATATAGTACACAGTCTTGCTCATACCCCCTCCCCCCCCCCCCCCAAAAAAAAATCTTAGAGGGGGGGGGGGCAGTTCATAAACAAAAAAAATGCAAGACATCAACATGTTCATTTCGTATTTTTGGCAGTATTGCAGAAGGGAATCTACTTCAAGACATTAAGCCAATAGTGAAGAATGGTGTGAACCTGCAATCAGTGTAAGTATATTACTTGGGGTCACAGCCATGCACGGGCTACATCCACTGATCTCTATATAAAGACTGGATAGCGGATATGCATACAACATTCACACAGTAGACTTTGCATATTGACCAATTCGCCCCCGGTCACACGAAGATGGCCGCGTATAATACGAACGTTCTACGCGTAAATACGCGCGCGTTGTATCAACAGTTGACGCGCATTTTGGTCACGTACACATATTATGATGTTCTAAAAGGAACACATTTCCGTAGTTATATTTATTTCAAAAACGCAAAAAAAGTGATTTGCGGCATTATAAGTAACCACTACGTTAGAAAAATTGTAGTAAACCTTGGTCAGTTGGTCAGTGGTGGTGGCCAAAATATAAGTCAAGTGAGCCGCGACGTTACAAAAGAAATCAAGCTGTCTATAAAGACGGCAACTTGTCCTTTGTAGATCACCAACCGGTCTCACCAATATGGCGTCAAATTCGTACATTGTGCGGCTCTTTATTAGCTATCCAGTCTTTATATAGAGATCAGTGGCTACATTCGCCTTGGAGGAAGATTCGTAATGTAACTTACGCCTGCGCAGTAATAACGCGCGAGCGCCTCTAGACAAAAGATGTTCGAAACGTCATCACAAGCCTCTGCTCCCTGGATAACATTATGATGCGCGCGGCTATTGGTAACCAGCTATAGAAGCTTGCGTAGAAGTTCTAGAACAGCACGTCCAGTAGCAAACGGGGGGGGGGGGGGGGGGGGGGGGGACAACGGGCCATGCCTGGCCCCCCCTCCCCCCCCAAAAAACCCCGAACCCAATTTTAAGTGACGTTGCAAAAATGGCAGCCACTGCATACACCACCCACAAAACTCAACAAAAGCAAAACATTTTATTTTGTTTTGAAACATGATATATACTGGATATAATTCATGAATATTTACCATGACCTGCCGCCACTGCCGCATCGTTATTTAAGGTTCTCGAGTCAGGATTATTCTGCTGTAATATTATTTATTAAATATTAGTATATTTATTCCAAAATGTAAAACTACGGATGGGCGTCATTCGGTAGGGGACCGTGGGGGGGGGGGGGGGGGGCGGCTTGCCTCCCTCCACTCTTTTCGTCCTCGATTACAAATTGTAGCTTACATTTGATTCTATAGCTCAGAATAGCTGATTTAATGACTCAAAACTCGAAACTGATATTTATATGATGATCTTTGGCCATAATTAACTTGAATTGCCTCAGATCGCGCCACAGAGCGTCTAGAATCCAAAACGTAAGCGGGCTCCCAACCCCACTGGTTTCGCGCTACGTGCTCGCATTACTTCAAATCAAGGTGTGCCCCCCACACTTTTTGAAGCGATCGACGCCTTAAACTACAACGTCAATTTGTCCGCAAACTTTTCATACGAACTGTTTTTGTTCTGTTCTGTTTTGTTTTGTTTGTTTGTTGTTGTTGTTTTGTTGTTTATTCTGTTTTACAAGTCGCAGGGTGAAACAACTGACAGTCGCAATGACTGAGAACACCACTATCGGGCCTGCTTAAGAAAATAAGATTCTCAGAAGGCAGCATTAAAATTGCGCCACCATGCACCAGTGCTTTTCATATTGAATTTGAGGCGGAAATTATTTGACCCACTTTTTCGGGGAACACATTTTTTTGGCTCTCCAAAATTGTGTTCTGTATCCCAATTGTCCAGTACGAGTCCAATTGTTGTTAGGCTCAAAGCTGATAACGCCCATATTCAGCACTCGATGTTTTACTTCACAAACTTCTTGTAGCGTTAGCATAGCCTTTTCATGACAGTAGTTAATTTTCCCACGAAAAGGTTTTGAAACTTATTTACAACTGGTAATTTATCCACAGTGATTTTAGGAGCAACAGTCTGCAAATCATCGAGACAAATACGTTCAAAAGATGTACTAAGCTTTCAAAAGTGTAAGTATACTTGACACGTTTTCGTTTTGTTCAAGAGACCGATGTAATTGTAATTGTATATCCCTTAATTGCTTCCAATGCGGTCATGATAAGTGTTTAAAGCCAGTTGAGCAGTTGTGTCGGTGACACTTTACATTTCTTTGTTGCTGCAGTTCTTACATTCTGTCGGCGTTCCGGGTAAAATTTGATGGAGTGTTAAAAAAATTAAGAAAGAAAACACAAATAATTTGACATCCAATTGAATTAAATGCAATTTGCATTTTGTGATATTCTTTATTTCATTTCATCATTTGTTTGTGGTAATGAAATAATGATTGATAGTCACAACAGTTAAGGACATCATCACGAAAAACCATTGTGCTGTCATTCCAGTTCGAATACCATAGACTGTATTTTCATTTTAATTTTTATTTTTCCTCATCGACAGATTCTTGGATGTGAACAGAATCTCGGAAATACAACCTGGAGGGTTCGCGGGTTAATCTGAACCCTAATTATCATATCTCATGAATTATAAATCTGATGGGATTGATACCTTATAGCAACATTAAACAACATTCAAAGATAATTATGTTTCATTATTAATACTCACAGTGCAATTTATTGTTCTGTTATGACGTCTTGAATATTTAATAAAGCAATAATTATTTTGTGACCACCTATCTCAACAATCCGATAAGGTGTGATTCCAGTTCTTTGTACATTCCATTATATTAGACTGAAATTGAACCTCCTGGAAAGCCAAGGCCATGTTACCCTTACTTCCGGTTTTACCGGAAGTGCAATTCTTAAAGATTATAATTATTTCAATTTTAAAAGTTACCGTGTCTGGAAAATTCATCCATTAGACAATCAAAAAAAAATTGGGAACAGCTCTGTGGTTGTTCAGTTACAAACACGATCTCTAGTATTGTTTGTTTTGTTTTCTGTACATAAAGAAAATAACAATTTTTCCGCTTTTAACTGACAAGATTTGTTAGCAAGGTTAATTTCTATTCCCTACTACTTCGAGTTAACATTTAAAAAATACAAGCGGCTCGGTCTGAAAGAGAGGCAGATTCAATGACTGCGTTTGGTACTCATTTAGATCGCATACATTTCGCATATAAGATTAAACTAACTGGGCGATTTTCAGTTGTTTCAATCTTGACAGAAATAAGAGTATTATAGAACACAGTGAAATATGTCGATATCGGTATCAATAATTAAGCCGTCCATTGATGTCAAGCGTCTGAATTCTTATTTACGTCCTAAATCTTAAGCTGTTGAGACAGAAAGAGACGTTTCTCAAGCATATTTTAGTGTGATTACAAAATTCTCAGTTTGGCGCGCGCGGGTCTTTGAAAGCCCTCTTGGTAGACTCCGTTTGGTTTTGCTGAAATTTCCATTGATTGCCTTTATAATTTCTTACGGGCATTTTGACACTATCTTACCCATTTAATGTTTAGATATTTGGGTAATACAAAGTTCGAAGAGCTAGGACCGGAAAACACAGAAGGATTACGAGTCTCATCTTTGTAAGTATAAACATATCGTCAGTAGTTTTACATTGTCTCGGCGTTAATTTTCAACACTAAGTTACTGGCTTTTACTGATTCAGATTTTAAAAATCCTCGAAAAAAGGTTTCAAGTATACAGGGTGAGTAAAAAAAACGAAACCCAAACGCTGGGACCATTGTTTTAGTGAAGTTCTGCATGTAGTACTTTTAAAATCTAGGATATGAAAGCCCAATTCATAAGCTTTCTTTTAGTACAAAAATCATTCAAATCACTAATGCACTTTTTAAGTTAAATTTTAAACACAACTACCGTTTTAAAGTTCCGTCTACGAATCACAAGAAGGTAAGTGTTCTTTCAGCAAAACGAATCACTTGGGATGTGTGTGAATTGTTTTCGTTTTGCTAAAAGAACGCACACCTTTTGTGTGATCCGTGGACAGAACGCACCGGCGATACTGACTTTTGGGCATGCGATTCTTTTTTTTTTTTCGAGGTATCGACGACACGGCATTAATTTCGTAGATGGATCTATGGATGCGACTTTTTTCCGTACCACATATTCGCTATAGGAGCATAGCGAAGTACGTGATTGGACGGATGTCACGAAGCATCAGGATCACGCATGGCTGTACTATCGCGCTACTTTAAAATCTATCAACACCGAAATCTCGTGTGTAGTTGTGTACATGCACATGATCGTACGTTGTTTATCGTCGCCTTAGCGGATATCTGTAGTACTTTAGGCGCGGATCAAGGGGGGGGGGGGGGGGAGGTATTAGGGGGTAAGAAAGAAAAAAAACAGCTCTATCAAAGTGTGTGCTATACTGTCTTGTTATGGTCGGTGAAAAGAACATTGTTCTTTTCAATCTGCAACCATGTTGTGATTGTTTTAATACAAGTCTTCGGCACAAATATACGCCAGTGAACAGGCCAACTTCATTGGTTGTGTATACTAGCTACTGTCTTGTATGTTATACAAGAGGCTCCTTTACAATCTGCAACCATCTTGGAGGCTCCTTTACAATCTGCAACCATCTTGGAGGCTCCTTTCCAATCTGCAACCATCTTGGAGGCTCCTTTCCAATCTGCAACCATCTTGGAGGCTCCTTTCCAATCTGCAACCATCTTGGAGGCTCCTTTGCAATCTGCAACCATCTTGGAGGCTCCTTTCCAATCTGCAACCATCTTGGAGGGTCCTGTACAATCTGCAACCATCTTGGAGGCTCCTTTGCAATCTGCAACCATCTTGGAGGCTCCTTTCCAATCTGCAACCATCTTGGAGGGTCCTTTACAATCTGCAACCATCTTGGAGGCTCCTTTACAATCTGCAACCATCTTGGAGGCTCCTTTGCAATCTGCAACCATCTTGGAGGCTCCTTTGCAATCTGCAACCATCTTGGAGGCTCCTTTGCAATCTGCAACCATCTTGGAGGCTCCTTTACAATCTGCAACCATCTTGGAGGCTCCTTTGCAATCTGCAACCATCTTGGAGGCTCCAATACAATCTGCAACCATCTTGGAGGCTCCTTTACAATCTGCAACCATCTTGGAGGCTCCTTTACAATCTGCAACCATCTTGGAGGCTCCTTTGCAATCTGCAACCATCTTGGAGGCTGCTTTACAATCTGCAACTATCTTGGAGGCTTAAATTGGCTTAATACAATTCTTTAATGCTCGCATCCTCAGCGATGGCTGCAATGCAACCATAAGTCGTGTTCACGAAATCCGCATTTATTTTCAGTTAATGTCCATTCTTGTTACGGAAACAAATAATATAATAATTCACGTAGCAGTATCTTCAGCTAAAATTGCCTCGCTTTCGATTCAAGATGGCGACTCATGTATAACAGCTCGTTACTGAATTACATTTGATTCATCTTCTTTCGTTTTTAATTTCGTTCAAACAGATGGCTGGATCGCGGTGAGTTCAAGGTGTTACGGCCACATACCTTTGGGAGAATCCCTCAGCTTTATCTTTTGTAAGCATTGCTCCAGAGACTTTGGATGGAATAATAGGGTGACGTGTCATAAAAAGAACTCCGAATCATAATACTGAACTTAATTATGAATCTGACATAATATTTGTTTAATTATGCAGATATCTACAGGCGTGCAAGTTGGAAGAAATTCTACCTGGTGTGTTTCAGGATCCAACAGTAGAGGCTATTTCTCACAGAAGCATAGAATCTCTGTAAGTAGGGTATGAAACTGGCGATGTTTTGCAGAAGCATAATGGTGCATTAATGGATTAAAATATTAAGCTGCCCTTTCTATAGAAATGCACTGGTGAGGTTGAGCTTCGTAACCCATGTGGAGGAGGTATTTGATTATTCCTAGCCTCTTGTTTAAAAACAATTTGCAAATAAAGCGGTTAATTAATGGCAGACCATTAGCCTTAATAATTATTATTGAGACATATGTGGAAACAATGGGAGGGCACTATACAGCTGTGTGGTTGCGAAGGCCTAAGCGTCCCCGTTGTTAAACAAAGTTAATCCGATTACGTACTTAGACGCTATAACAGAGCAGTGAAATTCATGCACCCCCCAAAAAATGGCCTTTTGAACGTTGTGTTTCTCAGAAAATATGCTCAGTATGATTGAAATGTTAAATTATAACGGAAGAATAAATTCTATACTTGATGTCAGTGAAAAAATCGCCGTCATCGATGCCAAAACGTCAATACTGGTTACTGGTAATGCTGACCTCAAAGTCGGGAAAAAATCTTTCGAAAACTTACCCAAATCTATGTATCTACCTCAATTTCTAGGAGTCTACTCAAGTTGTTATTTCACGAGTTGTTGAACATTTATATCATTAAAGTATATTCCGAATTTTAGCTTAAGCTGTTGTTGCAAACGCTTGTGTTACACCTTGAATTATCTCCAAGGAAAATTTTGACAAGGATTTTTTTCCTACCAAACTCACGTGAATGATTTTCAGGTTGGCTTGCATGCTTGGCCAAGTTTGGGGCAACAATGACGTAGCGCATATTATTATATATATTAGCGTCACTCGGCGTGACTTCACTAGGGTTTCGGTATCGGCCAATGGAAGCTGGCAAAAAGGGTGATATTTATTAAGTAATAACTCGTGAAGGAGGCTATTCTGCAAAGTTTTACTGCACACCATAATGGATAGGAACCTTATTAATATTCGTGATGCTTGAAACGATTGACAGATATTGCAAACACCAGTGTTACAAAAAATGCACGTAGCCAGGCCTACTTTTCGAATTTAAACTATAAAGTACTGAACATATCAAAACGATTTTTAGTACATGGTTGGATCATTATAAGGGAAACAAACCCTGAAAGTTGCATGAATTAGATACGGTCTTTCAAACGGGAGATATTAATTTGCAAAGATTTCGCCCGCCAACGTGAACATGTCTATGGCATGTTGTTTCATTCAATATAAAGTGTTACGTAACCTTTAGAAATCGGCCTTTGCAACCACACGGATGTATAGCGCCATCATATTGTGTCTGACATGCATAGGCCTATACTTAAAAAAGGCTAATATGTCTATCAACGTAAGATAAATTACGTTGTTATGACCTTCAGTAGACTGCATGCGCTGTTCGATTTAATATAGGCCTGTAGAAAGTTTGCAGCAATTTCATTTTTTTTCTATTAATTTTCTTCAAAATGTTTCAGTTCTTTCGAGAACAACAAACTACGGCGGATCTATCCAGGTGCGTTTCATGGAGTTAACGAATTTCAGAACATGTAAGTTAGTCATACATATTAGTAAATTTCATATTCACAGATGAATGACAAATTTCAAACAACGGATTTGCTCAAAAGTGCACATTTTATTACACCCGCACTGGCCGCAGTAGTAAAGAAATGAATCTTTATTAGAGCGTTTAGTGGCGTGGACCATTGACTGTTTTGTATATAAATGGACGGTATTTTTGGAAAACAAATATTACAATTAGTCTTTGGTTATGAAAGATGCTATTGGTATTTTTTCACATT